CTGGCTTGCGAGTGCTTGTTGTGCGAAGACGTGCAGAGGAAATTCGCGAATTACATCCATGAAGTTAGTGTTGAAACCGATTAAATTCTTGTGGTAAGAATTTGTGTATAATTCCTTCCGAGATTGAGAGATTATTTCGTGAGGAATTATGGAGCTAAACACTACGTGAGTTATTGGGTGTAATTAGGGCTTGGGAAACACTTAGAGTGTTTGAGTGACTCGAGTGTGGTTGTAATTTCCGTTATATCGCTTGATCTATAGTGGAATTTCGTGCTACTCTCCCCGTGGACGTAGGTCACTACAACCAAACTACGTAAATCCGGTGTCCGATTTATTTTCTTATTCTATCAAATTTATTATCCGATCGCTTGGCTTCCGCAACAATTGGTATCAGAGCCTGGCTTGGCTGAGTTGAAGCGAATTGATGGCGATAGAAGAAGGAAAAGTGAAAATTGACAGATTTGATGGGAAGGACTTTGGTTTCTGGAAAATGCAGATTGATGATCATCTATATCAGATGAAACCGCACTTGTCCTTGTGTGGGGAGAAGCCAGAAACGATGAAGCAAGCTGATTGGGAATTGCTGGATAGACGAGCTTTGGGTGTTATTCGGCTAACGTTGGCTCGTAACGTCGCATTTAACATCGTAAATGAGAAGATCACTGCGGGTTTGATGAAAGCCCTATCGGACATGTATGAGAAGCCATTTGCGATCAACAAGGTCTATTTGATGCGACGTCTGTTTAACTTGAAGATGAGCGAAGGTGCATCAGTTGCTGATCATGTTAATGAATTCAATGTGATTATCAGTCAATTGAGTTCAGTTGATATTGACTTTGAAAATGAGGTACGTGCTTTGATTCTATTATCCTTATTGCCTGATAGCTGGAATACTACTGTTACTGCTCTAAGTAATTCCTCTGGGTCAATAAGTTTGACGTTTGATGGTGTTCAAAATTTAATTCTGAGTGAGGACATCCATAGAAGAAAATCTAGCGAACATGTATTTGCTACTTTAGTAGGTGAAAATAGAGAAAGAACTGGTACACGTGCTAGCAGGAGCAGTATGAACTCGAATAGACGAAGTCAGTTTAGGACTGGTGATGTCGTCTATTGGAGCTGTGGCAAGAGGGGGCATCTTAGAAGGGATTGCCTTAAGCTGAAGAACGAGATGGGTAAGGGAATTAGAGTTGATTCTGCAGATGATGTTGCAGCTATAATAGTCAGTAATTTGGATAGTGCTGATTTTGTCTTGTCTGTCACTGATTATTCGTCGTTTGACGGATGGATTATGGATTCTGGTTGTTCTTTTCATGAGACACCAAACAGGAACTGGTTTACTACTTATCAGTGCATGGATAGTAGCAAAGTGCAGTTGGAGAACAAGGCTGAATGCGAACTTATAGGTGTTGGTGATGTCAGAATTAGATTGCATGATGGTATTGTGAGGACATTGACTAGAGTGAGACATGTTCCAAAGTTGAAGAAAAATCTGATTTCCTTAAGTGCCCTGGATTCAGTTGGGTGTTGGTATACTTCAGAATGTGGAATTTTGAAGGTTATTCAAGGTGCCTTAGTGAAAATGAAAGGAATCAAGTATAGTGGCCTATATGAGTTTCAAGGTGAGACAGTGATGGAATTCACTGCGGAGACATCGGATGCATCTGTTCGAGAGTCTGAATTGTGGCATATGCGTTTGGGGCACATTAACGAGAGAAGCCTGAAGGTTTTAAGTGAAAGAAATTTGCTATGTGGTTATGTGGCTAACGAACTGAATGTATGTAGGTGTTGTGATTTAGATCAACGGCGGAAAGTGCATTTTAGTGCGGTTGTTAGAGAAACCATGGAAATTACAGAATTGATTCACTTGGATGTTCGCAGTTTGTCGTGATTTCCTTTGAGGAAGAGTGTCAGATTTATGCTAACAGTTATTGATGACTACTAGAGGAAGACTTTGGTATTTGTGCTAAGGCACAAGTTTGATGCTATTATCAAGATCAGGCAGTTGAAAGCTTTGATCGAAAAGGAGACTGGTAAAACGATCAAGCATGTGCGGACTGACAGTAGTATAGAGTTTTGCTCGAAACTGTTAAACGAATTCTGCATGAAGGAAGGCATAGTGAGACACCGCACTAATGCCAATGAACCACAACAAGTTGCAGAGTTGATGAGCAGAACATTACTAGAGATGGCTCATAAAATGCTCTCTAGTGCTGGTATGGCTAGGAGATTCATGGCGGATGCGCTTAGTACGACGAGCTACATGAAGAATAGATCCCCATCGATTACGATTGGATGTCGGACTCCCGAAGAAGTGTGGTCAGGTAACGTTGCTAATTATTCTGTTCTTAGAATATTTGGTTGTCCATGTTATATTCGAGTTAGTGATGGTAAACTCGATGGAAGGGCAATAGGGCAATGAAGTGCATGTTCCTAGGTTATGCACAAGGTGAGCGGAGCTATAAGTTGTGGTGCCCGGAATTAAATTCACCTGTTGTCAGCAGAGAAGTTACATTTGACGAGTCTCTAGTACTTCTGACTAGGAGTGTTAGTAGCAGTGTTCACACGGATCTGAACGATGTTCAGCTTGAGGTGGAGTTGTAACCAGAAACTCTTGAGGTAGCGAGTACTAACGAAGTAATCGACACAGATGGTGCTTATAGCGAGGTGAAGCCTATTGAGCCAACAGTTGCTGTAACTGTTGATATTGACAAGGTGAGTATTCGATCTCCGAATAGATATGGATACAACGATGGTTTTGCTTTATCTGCGGTTAAGGAGGTTGTGTCGGAAAATTCTTGTGGAGCAATTAAAGGTGCATGTGGAATTGGTATTCTGATGAGGTCCACGGTTATGGCGAAGTTCAAGCGCAGCTTAGGCTTGAAAGACGTTTGTGGCGGTTGAGCCCATTGGGGCTGTGAGAGAGTAGTAGCGAAATTCTGACAAAGTGATTATTACTTGGCTCAAATGTCGAGTCAAGGTGGAGATTGTTAAAATATATCTCGAGTTTGAGCTCGAAACGAAAATCTAAATATTTCGAATTGATAATTTACGGACAGTCCAAAATCGAGCAAAAGTAAATATTGGAAATTTGCTTTCCTAATATGCAAGAGTTGGCAGCAAACAAAAGAAAAGGAAAATAGAAAGAATATTTTATTCTTTCCTAATTCTAGTGGGATCCACGGTCTGCCAAAGAAAGACGAAATAGGAAAGTCCAAACTTGGACTTGTTGACCGCATGGAATCCCTTTCCAAGCTGGAGTCGGCCACTCTACGTTCACTTATTGGGCATACATACATATATATATATATATATATATATATATATATATATATATATAATTCTTGAACTTGGCCGCAAGCAGAAGACGTCTTGATGCGCTATTGTTGATGAAGGAGACTTCTTGAAGCGCCGCTGGCTTGCGAGTGCTTGGTGTGCGAAGACGTGCAGAGGGAATTCGTGAATTACATCCATGAAGTTAGTGTTGAAACCGATTAAATTCTTGTGGTAAGAATTTGTGTATAATTCCTTCCGAGATTGAGAGATTATTTCGTGAGAAATTATGGGGCTAAACATTGCGTGAGTTATTGGGTGTAATTAGAGCTTGGGAAACACTGAGAGTGTTTGAGTGACTCGAGTGTGGTTGTAATATCTGTTGTATTGCTTGATCTATAGTGGAATTTCGTGCTGCTTTCTCCGTGGACGTAGGTCACTACAACCGAACCACGTAAATCCGATATCCGATTTATTTTCTTATTCTGTCAAATTTATTGCTCGATCGCTTGACTTCCGCAACAATGATTGTACCATAAGTGCTAAATTCCTTTCACAAAAAACCATCAATTATGAAATATCAATTGAAATGTGCAACCCCTAAATCTATTTACTGGTGCAATCTAAGCCTAGACTTTTAATGAGTTAAAACTTTTAATACGTCAAAAAAAAAGGTCAAAACTTTTACGAAAAATATCACAAAAAATTTCAAACTATGCCACTTATGATAAATTTACCCTGAACTTTTTTTTGTGACACGAAAAATCCCAAACTATATCACTTGTGATAAATTTACCTTGAACAATTTTTTTGTGACACGAAAAACTTTAAATTATGTCATTTGTGACACATTTACCCCACAATACTTTGGCCCAAGGACATTTTCATCTTTTTCCTTTTATGTTTTTTTTTCCTTTCTTCACTCTTCCCTCCGCCATTGGCGGAGGGAAGAGTGAAGAAAGGAAAAAAAAGAAAAAAAAAGAAAAAGGAAAAAGGCGAAAATGTCTTTGGGCCAAAGTATTGTGAGGTAAATGTGTCACAAGTGGCATAGTTTGGGATTTTTTGTATCACAAAAAAAAGTTTAGGATAAATTTATCGCAAGTGACATAGTTTGGGGTTTTTCGTATCACAAAAAAAAGTTCTTGGTAAATTTGTCACAAATGGCATAGTTTGGGATTTTTGGTGGTATTTTCCCAAACTTTTAATGAAAAAAAATAATCAAATTTCGTTATTATATCAAAAAGTGCAATTTAAGGATTTTGCATAAACAACTTTTGGTACTTTTCACCAAAATGAGTTAAAATTGATTTGTTTTGAGAAGATTTAGAACTTAATTATACCAATTGATTGGTTTAAGACTCAATTTATAGATAATGCTTAGGACTTTTGATGCACTTTTTCCTCCTTCTATTCCAGTAGTATAAGTATTTGGCATATTAGTCAGTTAAACACCTACTTTAACATTAATGATGGGGACTAAGCCAGTAAAAGATCAATAGTTATTTAAGACTATGGAGAGAAATTACCAAACATACCAAAAATAAGTGCTTGATTTGAAAGATCTCCATGTCCTCATTCTCATCTTCACATATATCAATTAGTGTATCCAAAACATCATCCTTCCTAGCATAATCCGATGCTGCCCTCATCTGCAGCCTTTTTTGTATCAATCCCTCGGATAGATCCAACATTTGCCCGAAATACAGCTTCATTTGACGCCTTGAACCTTACGGGTCAATCTTCCTTAGCACCGGAAAGTAATCTGCGATGTTAGGTTTTCCGGCCTCGACCATAATACGAGAAACGATCTTCTTGAACTCGGTGGTAGAAACAGAAGAAGGGTCTGCTAAATCCAAGGAGAAAATGGTGTTGAACAAGAAGTTAAGGCTTGTCCTGAAAGCCGCTTCACTGATGTCCACTGCATTGCCGACTTGAGTGCTTATCTTGACGTGGGCAAGAAGTTCTTGCACTTTCTTAAGGCGCAAATGTTGAGTCGAGTGAAGCTTATTGTTGGTGAATATGTGTAGGTTGCATACTCTCCTTAAATTTCTCCATAGAGGCGAGATGGGCGCCCAGGGCAAACCGAGCTCGTCTTGCTTGAATGTAGTTAGCGTGTTGGGGACCATGCGGTTCGAGAAAGACATGTCGTGGACTTGGAGGATTTCTTTGGGGACAATCGGTGACGAGACGACTACAGTGGTTATGGATTTGAGCCGGAGCTTGAGGATGGGGCCATAAGTGCGAGCGAGCTTGGCGAGGGACTTGTGCAGAAGATCACTGAGCTCAAGGAGGTTACTGATCACAGGAAGAGGTGGTGGACCGGGTGGGAGATTGGAGGGACTCGTGCTGGCCTTTTTCTTGAGAAAACGAAGACCTTGGAGTAAAACCAAAACGAGGTAAGCACATAGTATCAACGCCAATAAATCCATCTCTCTCTGTCTCTCTGTCTCTCTCTCTCTCCCTATGTATTCTAAGGGTGGAGAACTGGTACGACGCACTCGACATCTTCCATTCAATATGCTAAGAATTGGATATATATATTCGCACTCGACATCTTCCATTCAATATGCCAAGAATTGGATATATATATTCGCACTCGACATCTTCCATTCAATATGTTATATTTAATCGTCGTTCCAAATAATTGAAATATCTAATATATTGAGAAAATAAATAATGGATATGAGATATGCTACTAGTTCTAGCAACGTTGAAAATATATCCTAGTATAAAAGTGCAGATTTCTACACAGAAAACTATTAAATAAATAAAATTAAATAAAAGCGCGAGCATTATAAATAATAAAGAGACCGTAAACAATATATAAAACTATAAGAAGAATTGCAAGGAATTCTAGACCAACCATGTAGGTGGTATTGCTAAGAAAAGGGTAAAACGGTAAGAAGAAGTAAGGATATATATAACAATTGCAGAGAACTGCTTTAATCTAAAGTACAGACCTTCCACAGGCGGTTCGACCTGCCGTTTGTGGGGTATGTAGTATGTTAATGCAAAAAGGAAATTAGAGAAATGACTGGTATATAAACAATATTGAAAGATTACAACAACAGTATTGAAAGGTTACAGGATGTAGATATCAAAATACAAGTGCAGTAGTAAGGAAATTTCTTTGGTAGAAAGTGATGGATCTTATGAAGTTTCGAATGAAACTTTGTGTTTCCTGAGAGTAGTTCTAGCAGATGTCTGCAGACTATATTTCTCGAAAGGAAACTAAGATCTGGAGGGTGATATGAAAATTCTGAACAGGGATCAGAAACTTACTGGTTATGGAAAGGTTATAGAAAGGTTTGAGATGAATGATCTCTTATTCTCTCGAAGGAGGCTTGGACAGATCCGGGGAAGTTGGAGAGGTTTTGAACTCAGAGAGAAAGGGTCTGAAGAAGTTCTGCCCCTCTGAAGTGAGTGAGGTCTGGTTATATAAGAGGGCTGGGTTCCTGTAGAAATAGTTCACGGGTAGTACTGTAGCAAGTAAGTGCACAGTGTTACAGTGAACAGTGACCGAATATAATTATGAAAGTTCTGAGAAAAGAAAAAGTTGACAGACTTCTTTCAGCTTAGAAATTATGAAAACAGCCAAAACAGCCTGGAGTCTTTCGGCGCCTTGTCCTTAGGAGAATCTGGAGAGATCTTCCACCGGTTCAGGCTCTTCTTCTTCTTCATCCTTCACACTTGCCCAGTTGTGAGGAATGGGAGCAAATCCTGGAATCCCATAGTAGTCATCTTCATTGGAATTGCCACTATGATGGGAATGAGAAGAACTGGTTTCTTCAATTTCGGAAATGGCTTGTTTTAGCATTCCTGCTAGCTGTTGATGAGACTTGGCAGATGCTAACTTAGAAAGTACAAGCCCTTTGTCATGTAGAAAGGGGGTGATATCTTCAGAAGTGTTTGGAGCATTGCCCCTAGAAAACAGCCATTCTGAGACGGCTTGCTTAGTGACTCTATCAAAAAATTTGAAACCATCCCACCATTTGACTTTGAATCGTCTTATGAGAATGGGGATGCCAGTTTCAGGGGCTTTTCTATGATCAAAATACCATCCGAGGACCCATGATACTCCAAAATAATAGAAAAAGAGCATTAGTATGGGGAAATTTTTCTCAAATGGAAGTGGTGTGAATTTTTCTAGGAAATGCTCATAACTGGGTTGGATTCTTGGGTGTATTAATTCGTCAGTGGGTCCTAAATATTCCCACCAGCGAATAAACCAATATGGAACTGTTTTGATATCAAAGTCTTCAAAAAAGAATAGCCAAGTATGGGAATTATTGGCATTCTTTCTCCAGAAAGTGTTCCATCAGGCTTGCTGGTAATCAAAATATGAAAAGGATGTCCTGTATGGAAGGGCTTCATTTGTTTTGGTATTGAATTTTTTCAAGGCTAATGGATCAGGTTTCCATTGAGAAGGGTGAATGACCCTATGAATTCTGGCTGTGGAATAATTCACATGGCCCTTATCCGAGAAGTGTCTGAAAGTGACAGATTTTGTTTCTTCCAGAATTTTCTCATAAAACTCATTTGTTTTGTAAATATCATGAGAAGTGCATAAGAACTTTTCAGAAAACATGTTCCTAGCAAATACATATGGATCTGCATTATAAAAACCATTTTCAACATTGCAGATATTTTGAAATATTGTTTTATGGAAAAATTTTGACTTTGGAGGAGCTGTTTGAGTAGACTGAATGACCACCTCACTAGAAATTGTTTTTCCCTTTGCCTTTTGAGTGGCTATGGGAGAAGGATCAGGACTTACCATCGCCATGGATGGTTGTGGCTGGCTATTGAAGGCTTGTTGGAGAAGCTGTAATGCTTCTTCCTGGGATAACTGTGTTATATCAAATTGGGAGAGCTTGTCAGAAGGAGTTCCAGTAAGAGGAACATGTTCCCTTTTGACCTGGCTAGAAATGGTAGTAATATTCAATGGTTGCTGAGCAGCCTGGAGCCAGGTTCTGATGTTAGTTAGACCTGGTTTTTTCTCAGAAGAGGGTTCTGCAATTTGTTTGCCTTTGTCTCTCCTTGTGGGCTTGTTGGGTGGTTTGGGAGGCATTTTCCCTGTAAAAATTCTCTTGTGAGAAAATCTGGGAGAGAGTTTGAAGAACCATTTATGAATTCTATATCAAAATCAAAAACAGATAAAATGGCTTGCCATCTGGCAAAAATCTGTTTGGAAGCAATATTTTGAACATCCTTTTGCAAAACATCTTTTGCAGATTTGCAATCAATGCGTAGAAGGAACTTTTGATTTAAAAGATCTCCTTGAAACTTAGAAATAGAAAGTACAATAGCAAGGATTTCTTTCTTAATGGTGGAGTAATTCTTTTGGCAATCATTCCAGTGTTTGGAGACAAACTGAACAATTTGTTCTTTGTTGTCTTTGGATTGTTTAAGAATCCCTCCGTATCCAATATCACAAGCATCAGTTTCAACAATTTTAAAAGCAAAAGGATCAGCAAGATGTAAACAAGGAATTTCCTTGACAGTCCGCTTGATCTGTTTTACAATATCAGTATGAATTTGAGTCCATGGTGGAGGATCTTTCTTGAGCCTCTGATGGAGTGGTTTATAAATTATATTGATGCATGGGAAGAATTCAATAATATAATTCAAACTTCCTAGAAATCTTTGCAATTGATTTTTATCTCTGATTTCATCAGGAAACTTTTCAGAAAATATTATTGATCTCTCAATGGGAGTGATGGTTCCTTGATGGATGTAATGTCCTAGAAAACGAATCTTTGTTTTAAAAAGGAAATTTTAGTAGGTGAAACTACTAAACCATTTTTCTTTACAATATTGATAAAATGATTGATGTGTTTAAAGTGTTTTTCTATGGATGCAGAAAATATTAAAACATCATCAATATAAACTATAATGTAATCAGAACAATGATTAAAAATATCATTCATAATCCTTTGGAATTCAGAAGGGGCATTTTTCAATCCAAAAGGCATGACATTCCATTCATATTGGCCAAAAGGAACAGTAAAGGCTGTCTTATATCTGTCCTTTCACTAATTTGAATTTGCCAGAAACCTGATTTCATATCAAACTTTGAAAAGATTTTTGCATCATGAAGTCTATTCAATAGATCCTTTTTGTTAGGAATTGGATATCTTATCCATTTTAAAGCGTATTCAAAGGTTTGTAATTAATAACCAATCTCGGAACTCCTCTTTCTAGTTCAGCATTTTTGTTGACATAGAAAGCAGAGCAACTCCAAGAAGTTCCCCGAGCTTCTTCTCAAGAAGTTCCTGTATTTCCTAATAAGCTTCTTCTCAAGAAGTTCCTGTATTTCCTTTTGACAGAAATTTAAAACTTCGTGATTCATTTGAGAAGGTCTAGCTTTAGTAGGAATGTCTTTTTCTGAAAACCCTGGTTCATAAGGTAGATAAACTATGTGACATTTTCGAGACCAGAAGGCATTGGGAATATTAGAACATATGGAATCTTTGATTTGATTTTCAAGATTGAAAATCCTTTTCTGAAGACTGGTTTCAGAAAGATTTTTGTCAATCCTTTTGTATTCAAGGTCTTCTTTAAGAAACTGAAGATGAGTTTCTTTGTCTTGGATTATGCAATTAATCTCAGAAATGGAATGTTCTTGAAGAGTATTCAAATTTCTGGTTTGGGGTTTTGAAATGAAATTAAAGCAAATCCTTTTGCCTAAGGTTTCAGTTTCAATTCCTTTTTCAGAAACTTTAAAAGGCTGGAGTAAATTGATAAAAGGTGACCCCAAAATAACATTTTGTTTGATATTCTTAACAAGGAGAAAGGGAGTTTTGAAAGAAATTTGGTCTTTCACAATCTCGGCTTCAGGAATTTTATAATTAATAACCAGCTTATCACCAGAAGCTGATTTGAGAGATTGGGAAGTTTTTTCAAAATATTTAGTAGGTATAAGACCTTCTTTTATACAATTGAGGTCTGCACCAGTGTCAAAAAGGGCTGTTCTTTCCAAAACAATTTCATTTTGGATCCTTATGGAAATGTTGATAATCCATTTTCTGGTAGTTATTTCAGAAAGCATTAAAAGGAAGTTTGTATCAGAAGAAGAAGGAGGTTGAGGGACATTTTCTTCAAAATCTTCTTCTTTTTGTTTTCCTCTTAAATTTTTCATTTTAATATCCAAAATGTCTTTTTGCATAATTATCAGAGTGGCCTTGAGATCTTGGATTTCTTGTTTCTGTTTATTGATCTCTTGAGTTAGGTCACTTATAGAAATGGGTTTAAAATTTGTTTTTTTGGTTTTGCCAAGAATGGTTGAAATATTGTAAGGACTATCAGTTTGAAAAGTGGGTTTAGAAACTGATTTGGGATTTTGAAATTTATTCAAATATTTAATCTTCGTTTCAGGGTCAGATATTTCATCAAAAGTTTGTAGAAGAATTTCTTCTTCTTTTGTCAA